AATACAAAAATATATTTTTTTCAGAGTTTTTCTTGGTGTGGACCTCAAAGGGTCAAACCAATGTGGGGGAAATAAGTGTTTGATCTCTTGCTGATTTTGTAAGTTTGCCCACTAACAAAGACATGAACAATCTATAATTTTAAGGGTAAGTTCATTTTAACAGTAAGAACATGAAGCATGCTATCAGAAATTGGAAACAATGGAGAAAAACGAATTGAAATGCCAAACCAGGTGTAGTTACATTAAAGAGCCAGCAGGTGTCAGGCTGAGGGAACCTTCACAAACATCTGATGAAGGTCAAAGTTCACAAAAAGAGTTGAAACAGTCAACACTGTAATATTTACAGCAACAGAGTGGAACAGCTTTAAATCACACCCCAGACTCAGATCCAATTCATTAAGTACTCCAACATTAGAGATGTTTGAAAATGTTCAGTAATCAGAACAAAACCACACGAGCTTAATCGTTCTGTCCATGTTGAATGACCACTGAACACACACAGATCTATTTGATCCGTTTTATTCAACTGTTTAAAACTATGGGTTTCCATTTGTGCCAAAAATATGTTGTTGTGCCTTTGTCCATGTTGGAACCCCATATAAACACATTCAATGTTTTTCTAAATCTCTGCAAACACCATGTGTGAGCTTTCTCACTTCAAGACTTCATGATTGTCGCCTGCTGGCAAATGTTTTTGCTCCTGTCTGTCTGTCTGTTAGCAAAATATCTCATGAACCATGAGACGATGTTTAATTAAAGGAATTAATAGAATTAGAATAATCTAAAAGTGAAGGAGAGGGACCATCCAGCCTGCCTCTCTGATGGTATGGGGGTGCATTGGTACCTCTGGTATGGGTGGCTGACACACCTGGAAAGGAAGCATCAATGCAAAAATATGGACAGATTTAAAAACTACATCTGCTTCCATCCAGATAAAAACCATCCAAAGAAAGCCCAGGACTGTGAAACACGCTTTAAATGTGTTGCTATCATCAAATTCACAACCACCTTATTGTTTCCCTCATCGTACTGTGGTTTCTTTTACACATTTGATTAGTTTACTATGCTCATTATGAATAACATACAAGTTTATGAGATAAAAAATTTGTTTATATTTACACCATGTCCTAAATTATGTGAAATTTGTGTGGAAATCCTGTTTTTTATGGTTAACCCGTTTTTCAATCACTTTTTTTGTAAAAGTGAATATTTTATCACTTTGAAATGCTCGTGCAGCGTTCAGGCTGCTAAAGTGAGATGTTTTGTTTCCATCATCAGTGTGTTACAGCCCTTCAGAGCTGAGCCTGGGGTCGTTGGAGAGGATTATGAACACGGAGGGAAAAGGTTACCTCTGCCCGACACCTCCCCCAGCCATGCAACCCCAACCAAGCCTCCTGACCCTCCAACCCCCTGCTCTGTGTGTGTGTGTGTGTGTGTGTGTGTGTGTGTGTGTGTGTGTGTGTGTGTGTGTGTGTGTGTGTGTGTGTGTGT